GCACAAGGAGAGGAAGCAGCAGTGACCAATCTTTATTACAGGAGGGGGTGGAGACAAGACCAGTCACCCTGCACAAGGAGAGGGAGCAGTAGTGACCAATCTTTAGTACAGGAGAGAAAGCAATCATGTTCCAGTCATGCAAATCACCCACAAAAGACCAAAACCCGCAAGAGACAGCTTAGATTTTTCAAAAGAACTTTCGTATGCCAGAACATTCGTTTGACTTTCTATTAGTTGATGGTGTCAAATCGACGATCGTTTTCAACTGTAACCACGAAAAAAGTCATAAAGGAGCAAGATGGAAAATTTTTCTCATACGAACGAAATCCTTCAGATCCAGTGAATGTGGTTTTCATTCAGGAAGCTCCATGCATTCCAAAATCGAACCTTAAAAATCAGACGAAATTATCGGGTGGTAAGGATCTTTCCTATGAACGTTCATTCAGAAATCTACTAGTGTATGGCCAGCTTGACTCCCAATCCAGACAAAAAAAAAAAAGCGCTCTCTCAAACGAACAACTGTTCCATAAACGATAAAGAAAAAAATGCATGCATCTTAAAACAAAAAAATTAGGGATGCACCGATTTATTCGATATTATACCAAAAGTGCAATTTTTCTGCAGATACAGCGGTGCATCCGTGATTTCTCTCCTCCCAGCTGGGCGCTGCTCTGTCACAGGCGGCCGAGCGCTGCAGGAGAGCGCTGTGAGGTGCCGGCTTCTCTCCTCCCCACACCGCTGGAGCATCCTATCACAGATCAGAGGAGAGCGGTGTGCGTGGGCGGAGGCAGCCAGCGCTGTCACAGGAGGCTGAGCTCTCCTCCCGCAACGCCCCGCTCAGCCTCCTGTGACAGCTGTCAGGATGGAGAGCGGGTACAAGCAGTCGGTGATCAGTGATCGCTGAGTGTTTGTAAATAATTGAGGACATGGTACGGTTACTATAGCCTCAATTATTACGGAATGGGAAGTGATCTTCATTACCTCCTGTTCATTCATGATTGTAGTTATAGTAAACATACTCTGTCCTCATGTTATGAATAAACAGGAACACTCAATATAGAGAATTTCTGTTCATTTATAACTGGGGCTGCAGAAAAAGAGAGATTGAAAAACACAAAATCTCTTTTTCTATTTAAAAAAGGGAAATATCAGGGGTCTGTTTAGACCCCTAACATTTTTCCCGGAAGCCCCTAAAAATGTAAAAGTAAAAAATATTTTATAAAAAAAAAATTACAAAAAGTTTATTAAAATATTTAAAAAAAAAGTTAAAATGCAAAACATTTTCGGTCTGACATTTTTTTTATTTCGGTTTCGTTTTTTAAGTTTTCATTTCGGTGCACCTCTAAAAAAAATGCGAAATGTTTCCCAACGCAGGAAGCGTGCATATCTGTTGGATGAGTCACTGTGTTTTTACAGCAGCATGGAGGAGGCACGGCTGCCCTGTGTGGGGCTGACACATGTTTATTGAAGTGAAGAAAGGGAGAATCTTCAGATCATACGCTGGCAGCAAACCAGCCGCACAACCGGTTCTACGACAGCTCAGTCTGGAGGATCACTGGAGCTCTGTAAGGGAAAGGAGCTCCGATAACAAAACAACATACACCACAAGCTCTGTGACATTTAGAACTTTCACTACATGTGGGCAATGCAATACACAGTCACTCCACCCACTTTTACATTTTGGTAGATGATGGAAAGTTGAAGGTGAATCCCCGGCAAGAAGAATTATATATTTAAACGGTTTCACCTGCCAAAAGGTTTGTAATTCTGTTCAGCTAGTGCAGTGGTCCAGATGGCACATCCAGGTTAGTGACCGATGTTTCTTCCAATGCTGTGAAGCGACGCTGCTTGGTCAGGGACCCGTGTACCGCCTGCTGAATAGACCCGTGATGGTGTAATAGCACAGTGATGAGGCCATCCCGGCAACTAGCTGCCAGTGTTCGACTGACCGCATAAAAGCAATACCACCTGACCAGTCTTAGTGCTGTTATCAATGGAGGACAATAAAAGCTTTCCTATTAAATGGCATAAGGCCCCTTTCACATAGGCTGATCAGGACGGGTTGTCACCGTTGTGACATCCGTGTCCATCTAGTTTTTTTGCTTCCATCTTGCGATGTCTGTCTATAGGGAATCGGGTGTAAATGGACATGTGTCCAATTATATCAGATAATCCCCGATCTGGGATGAGCAGGTCTGGCGACACAGAACTCTGATCAGTTTGTTTCTCTGGACCTGGCTTGAGTCGGGGGTAACCGGGAGTAAACCGCCACCCGTACGGTTACACATGGCTGCCCACAGGCTAATATTGGGCTAATTGGGTCCGCTTAAAACACTGACAGGTGTACCCTATCAGACCGCGGTATTTTCAATCGAACTGAAGGCAAACATTTGAAGGGATTTCACTTCCTGTTGTGGCTATAGAACAGGAAGTGAAAGGAAATCTCAACAATGGGACAAAGATTGTGACAAAGACGACCTGGTTATAATATGGGATGCACGGATAGCGATTTTTCGGTATCGAGTACCGATATTTATTTTTCAGTACGCGCTGATGCAGAGTACCGGTATCAGTACTTCCGCTAGCATGGAGCCGGTGTTCTATCGAAAGTTCCAACTTGTCGACCTCTCCAACTGGTGATGTCACATCCGGTGACTGCCAGATCTACAGCAGATGGTGCTAATGCGCATGCCCAGGAAATCCTTGGCAAACTGTCTAACTATTGCCACAGCGCCTGCGCGGCTATCCACTTCTATAGCCTACTACAGTTATATTTGTCCTTGGTTATAGAAGCCGATGAGCCGATAGCCGCGCAGGTGCAGTGTCTATTGCCTCACCGGATTCTATAACCGAATCAAAGGTTATATTATGTTACATCGATTGTGCGGCCACATGATTCTTTCTACAACCACATTTGCCACTGCGCAGCTATCGGCTTCTGCACATGACGCAGTGGGCTGGTTTGGTGCTGTTCCAAAAAAAAAAAATCGCCACTGCAACGCATTAAGGGGAGGTTGCAGAAAATGAGCATTTTACTGCATATTACCTGCAGCACCCAGACCTGCGTCGGCTGTTCAAGTGAAGTGTTACTTTTACACACTTCTAAGGAAAAGATGAATGAATGGAAATACACATTGAGGAGGACTCTGAAGTCTTATCTGATTTCCTCTTGTTCTAAATGATACCCGCAGGAGGCATTTACAATAGAAATCAGATACCAAACCACTGAGGTCACCTGAGCACTTTCCTGGGTAAAGGACGCACCCCACGCCGAAACCATTATGGTAATGAATGGCTCCTTGCACTGCGTTCTGACACCTGAGCCACAGAGTTATACAATAAATGAGCATCCTCTCACTTCCCATCACATACCCAACACTCCCACTACAAGCCTCATCATTTCAGCTGGAGCCCACCAAGGACGAGAGATAAAATGAAATTTTTTATTTTAATTTGATTGCAATTATTTTCAAAAAACATAAGTGACCTGAAATGCATTTTTATATACCTGCTAGAGCCGTTTTTGTTCCTTTTTTTTTTTGCAACCCACAGCAACTTTTTTTTTTTTTTGCTCTGTGTTAAGCTCATGATGGGCTCAATGGTTTTGTTTTTTCTAGTTGCTGAAGACCGCACGGTCTAATAAAATGGACCAACAGGTACTTTTTATGGGTATGAACTTTACTGATACTATTGATTGTTAATGGAAAATAAAAACACAATAGTGAAGCAATATCAGTCTGGACTCTACCGCAGCCGATCTTCACTATCCAATGGAACTGGAGCTGCCGCAATCATCTTCATTCAACAATTCCAAGTGTCCTAGACGCCCGTGTCACCTTATTATACGCTGCGGCTCACCCCTCCAGAGCTGCTACATCACTAGCGCCCAACTGAGATTTTCTCTAGTGGTTAAGTCTTTTCCCCATAGTTCTCCTTAGGGTGACGGGAGGACACAAACTAGCATCCTCCCGTCACCCTAGGCTCAGTATACCACGAGCTGCTGCTCGCAGGAATACTGAGACGCCGCAGCTGAAGCGGATCCCGACAATTGTGCCGTCATCCGCCCAGCTGCGTGACTGATCCAGCTGTACCCGCCTCCCGATCCACCAGTCAGCGCTGGCGGATCGGAGCGGGGAGGGGGGAATCCAGCCCCTCCCCTGTCACAGCAGAGAGCCGTGACAGGATCGAGAGGTGAGCGAACGCCGGTATGTGTTTGCTCACCTCCCGATCTACTGAGCCGACCTGTGACAGTCTCATTGTCACAGGTCGGCTAGAACTATGGAGGTGAGTGAAAAGCACTCACCTCATAGTTCTCCTTTAATGGAGCGGGATCCTAAAAAAATCCTGCTTGCTGCTGAATTGGACAGAATGGCTTCTGAAATCCATATTAAAATGTATCCACCTCTGTGCTAAGGAAACCTGCAGCGCTCTAGCTATGCAAGTTATGCTGGCCATACAGTCCGCTCTCCAATCTGCTCTATGTGATCAGTGAGACAGGAGGGCTGTACTCAGAGAGCATCCCGTCCCAGCAGTCACAAGCCTGCATAGATCGAGTACAATTCTGTGCTCGATCTGGCTCCATAAAGAGAACCTGTAACCTCCATAGGGGCTCGTTATCCCCTGTGCGATAGCAATGAATTTAAAAACGGACCTTTACCCCATATGTGTAAAACAACAACAAACACACCTTTAGAAATGTTTAGTAATGACAATCTAACACACACACATACTTCTAGATAATTCCCGGCTTTGGCCATGTTTACTAAGGGCAGATTACTACATCTCCTTTTACTTCCTGGATTTCTGGCACATGTGACTAGACATGTGACCATGGACATCATCTCAGGGGACTAAAATGCCTTTCCCTGAGATCTGATGAGATTAAAGATGAGATTTCCCAGCAATGCTCTGCTGATGACAAGTGCATAAACGCTGGCAAACTGAAGTCATTTTGCACTTTCAAAGCAGGAAGTGAGAGATGATATAGAGATAGAGATAGAGATAGAAATATCTACCTATCTTTATATCTATATCTCGATCACACTTCTGCATTCGGCTGTCATTCTCCAGCTTCTGTAGCTGGAGAGAAGCTGGTGAAGCAGATCTCTGCTTCATCAGCTTCTTTAGGGGTCCCTAGGTGACACTAGAGACCCCCTACTGTCTCCATAAAAGGAACCTGTCTGTCTGCGTAAATTGGCTATCACATAGGGGACTTCTTAGCGATGTGATAGCAATAAAGTTAAGTGAAAAAATGTTTGCTGTTTTTTAAAAATTCAAGTTATCAAAACATTTTAAAAAAATGTAAAGTCAAATACACATTTTTTTTTTCTTAAAGTCCCCTGCCCCCACACACAAACATGCGTCAGGTGCACCTACGTGTGAAAAAGGGAAGTGGGCCACACGTTACATATCACTGCGAAAGTCAGAGTGAGGGCAATAATTTTAGTGTCCTCAATCACTGATAACTCTAAACCGATGAGCAGTAAAAGCGTTTAAATTGTGGCCTATGGCCAATTTTGGGCATGGTATTTTTTATGCAATTTTGCGGGAGCGCGCCATTTTAAAGCTTGACATGTTTGATGCCCATTTACCCGACGTGACCCCGTCTTTTATATTTTACCAAAAATATTAGGTAAGAATACGTTTTTTTTAACATAACGTAGGGGAAATAAAAAAAATTTCCCCCCTTTCAAAATTTACGGTACTTTTTTCATTATATAGTAAATAAAGTAAAAAAATTTTAAAAAAAATAAATAAACAACAAAAAAAAAGTGGTGATTATTTACCACCAAAGGAAAGCTCTTTGTGTCCCCCAAAAATTTTTAACATAAAATTGCAAGGCTATAGTCCGGTCATGCGGACTATATAGTCCGGAAATTCTTGACTGACTGGCGAGTCAATATTCAAGCCCTGTATATAGGTATATTATGTAATCAATGTTTATTTTACAATTTAAGCCCAACTCCAACCAAAAAAACTTTCCCTTTTCTGATAGAATGGGGAAGGGTTAGAGCCAGTGTTCGTTCATGTGGATTGCGCTCTGTGTCTTCATTGGCAAGGTTGCCCTTCACTTCCTTTGTGTTCACCGGGACAAGAAGCGAGAGCAAATGCCACAGAGCACCTACACTTTCAATGCTATACAAAATTTGGTAAAAAGTTAGAGTTACGCTTATTAAAAATGAGGTAATTTTTCCTATTTTTGGTTTTAGAAGTTCAGCCAGTTTAGAGTTCAGTTTTTCCCTATGCAAAAAATGTTTAAAAAAAAAAAATCAATAGCTGCATTGTTGCCTGGGCTCCAATTTTTCTGGATTTTAGCACCCGTGTGGTACATGGATATCAAATACACATTGGCTCACACGTTAGGACTAACAAACTTGTACCACTGTGTAACAGTCTTTGTGGCTGAAGACAAAATGAACAAACATGGCCTACAACCGCTTTGAATTACTGAAGGACGAGGTCGCAAGAAGGCCAAAACGAGCTCACGCGGCTTCATACCATGCTTGGAGGAATCTCCGCCAAAATGTGTGATTGTCACGTACGCAGACCAGAAAGGAGACGCCTAAACCACAGATACACACATTCTAAGCAATGCATGGGAAGGGAACTAGACACGGCAAGTCAACTTTTATGAAGTACGGCAAGATTAGCCAACAGAATTCAGGAACCAGTCCAATTAATGGGTTGAATCAGCTTTTTCTAATCCCTTGCGGAGCAGATGGAAAGAGGGAGGGGAGGAGCTTGAGCAGTGCTGTCAATCTAACACTGGGACCTTGCTGATAAGGAGGAGCAAAGTAAGAGGTTTGATGACCTCAACAGTGTGCTCCTGCTTCTTTTAACGTGGGTGGGAGTCCTTGACTCATCTCCATGTTTTTACCACACTGGAGGACAAGTATTTAGGTGAACAGCATTACCATTTATTTTCAATTGTTAAAGCAGAGGTGTACAGAAGAGGAGAATGAGCTCAGGAAAGCAGACTCCCAGCTCCCTTGCATGCTTACCTCAGTGACGCTGCTCCCAGGTTCGCTGATGCAGAAGATACGAACAAGCTCCTTCTTCTCAGAGTCTTGTTTTGCAGCAGAGAGCCTGGGGGCGATAACACTAGGGTCAGGGACCACCCTATAATGAGACAGCCTAAGGCAGTTGCCTCGGGCCGCATATTATTGGTCCATGTGTGCCTACCGCCCTCTTTCTGGCCAGAGCATCCCAGGTTTGTAAGAGCTCTTAGAAACCTGTTGCGCTCTGGCCAGCAACTCGCCCAGCTCACCGACATCACTGGTTGCCAGGAGCTGAGCAGGACGCTCTGGCTGGTGTCCCAGCCAGCTCCCGGCAACCATTGAAATCAGTGAGCTGGGCGGGACAAGGTGCACCACAAGCCGCCGCCATCCACCCCCCGAAACATCCACCAGGAGCCACCCCCCTACCCCTCAAGAACGTCTACCACAAGAGCCGCCCCTCCATAAACCAACAGAGCAACTAACCATCCACCCAACCCTCCCCCGGAACACGCATCAAGAGCACACAACCCACCAAACCTCTGATGGCGAAATGTCTAGGGATGCCCCTGACTGGGGTGGATATACAAGGGAGCCATGTACAGATGCCAGGACAATTATGTGTGGGAGCAAGGAGGATTGGTACCTATGTACAAGATCAGTTCCTTGGGGAGATTGCAGTCCCTAAGAGGTGTTGGGAATGAGGTGGACCGGGAGGAATGACACAGGGACATGTTTCTGGCCACTTTTCATCAGATTCTTTTTAATAGGACAGAATTGGGCAAGAAAAAGGAAGGGGAGGGTAGAGTGGGATCACCGAGGGTCAGACAGAGAAGAAGGCGTTGGAGAAATTGCTAATGGAGAGTTCACCAGTGGCAAAATGGAAGTGGGACGTGCCATTATAGTATGAAGGATAATACACCCCTGTATTTAGCACCTCTGTAATTAATGTCTGTATGAACTTTATACCAGGGAAGACCAACTGCAGACTTCTTATAGATTGGGATAACAGAGTCATTGTACGTCGGGGACCACACCTTTCTCTACTGCCGTTTATTATTTAGTAATCCCCTAGAGTGGCACCCAGATCAATTTGTATTGATCGCCAGGAGTCATGCAGTATCTGTGCCTGCTTCCATCCTCACGCCACTGAAAAAACGGAACGCTCTCCTCATCTATGACACAGTGAGAATGAAGAAAAGGTCACATTCTGGACTTAAAACCTTTCACAAACCCAAGCAAATCAAACAGCGCATATACCAAAAAAAACAAAAAAAAAAAAAAGAAAAAAAAAAACAAAAAAAAAAAAAAAGAAGAACATACCAACAGAGGTCTTCAGAGAAACCAAAATAATCAGTGGATCCAGAGACATAGGCAGCTACAGTTGTATGCAAATCTTGACTTTTGCTGTAAAAGTCAGGTTCGACCCCACCCCTCTGTTTAGTCTGATTGGCCCAGCCCTGTGTCCGGTTTATTTTAATTCATCTATATATTAATGGCTATAGTGACAATGCCATAAACCAGGGCTGGACAAATCCCAGGAGCCAGGTAGGCAATGCTAAATGTTAAAAATTACACCCGGTACCTAACTTTTGAGGTTTTCTCTAGCGGTTCTCAATGAAGCCGACTGCTTAAACATCCTGCTGGCTCCTGGATTGGACAGATGGTCTCCTGAATTCCATATTAAAAGTTGTCCACCTCTGCCATAAACAGTCAATTATATTTTTTAAAGTTGAACTTTACTCTATATAGTCCCAAAAAGCTCTTGTCATAATGTGCAGGTATGCATAAAATATTTGATTATAGCACACTTAAACTCTTAAATGCCTTCCGCCAGCACGGGGACATCCATGCTCAATCGCTGCTGCCTTCTTCTCTTCTGGAGTCTTCTTTCAAAAGTGACTTCCTCCCAATACCCGACTCCAATTACCACCATTTAAAGGAGAAGTATTGGGAGCGTAAAATGTACCCTTCCCAATACTTAGAGCCGGTGTTCTATCCTCGAGACCTCCAACTCCAGTCAGTGCGCCTGCGCAGCCACCCAAGTGAACTATTAAGCTCTAGTATCTGTGGCAGTGCGCCTGCGCGGGCACCCGATGCCACAAGCACCGACGGGAGTTGAAGAACTTGATGACAATTTAGAAGCTGCAGAGGCGCACCTACGGCAACTGGAGAAGTCGAAGAGGATTACAAAAACTGTTGACGGCTGGCGCACGTGCACCAGCCATCTCATCTAAATCTACAACGGACGTGACGTCACGAGTTGGCCACTTTGACAGAAAACTGGTGGGTGACACTGCAGCTGTCACATGCCGGCTCTATTAGGTCAAGAGAGGTCGATCAAGAACCAATGATGATTGTCAGTCACCGCTCCCTACAGGGATTCCCCTCCCTCTGTCCCTCCAGTGCTCATTAGAGGAACAGACGGGGAGGGGGTGGCCACAGCCGGCTCTGGAGAGGCAGAGCTAGCCGTCAATCAGACAGCCGGGTGGATCCCAACAATATTGCTGGGATCTTTCCCGACTGTGGAGCGGCTCTGCGCTGTCAGCATACAGTATAGTGGATCGTAGATTAGTAAATGTACTCCATTGTACCATACGAACTAAAAACAAAAAAAGGTTTGGCTTTAGTTCTCTTTTAACAGATGTTGGGATTGTACACTGAGCTGCACATGCGTGGCAGACTGCCACGCATGTATTGGTATCGGTGCCGATACCGAGTATTTGGGCGAGTACTCGTACTCGCCCAAATGCTCCGATACCTTTCCCGATACTAGAACTTCCGGTCAGAGGAAGGTTTGCTCTGACTGGCAGTGCCACGAGGAAAGATGGAGCCGGAAAGCTAGCTCCATGATGTATGGCTGGCTTGATCCTGATTGGCCGGGAAGCCGGCTTCCCAGCCAATCAATGTTGAGCCGGGCAAACAAATCTGATAATATAGCGACACGACCCCCACCCTGCAGGCACATAATTTCCCTCACATAGATCCTTAGCATTCAGTTCCTCGGCCAGATCTGCCGTCTCCTGTGTGCACACTGCACAATGCTCACGTGATCAGCGTTCAGCCTGCCACTGCGCATGCACAGGATTTCTGAATGAGAGCACTGGGCAGTCTGCCCATGCACAGTAGCAGGCTGAGCGCCGATCACGTGGGCGCTGTACACAGGAGACGTGGGGAGATCTTGGAGAGCGGTGTCTGCCCACTTGGAGAGCGCTGGCGGAGGTACTGGTACGTTAATGAATGCGATACGGATCTATGTGAGGGGAATTAGGTGCCCGGAGGGGAATTAGAAGCCTTCCTGGCTTCCTGATTGCCCGGGAAGACTGTTCTATGCTAACGGAAGTGGCGGTATCGGTACTCGGTATCGACGAGTACCAAAATATAAGTATCGGTACTCGATACCGAAAAAACGGTATTGGTGCATCCCTACACAGAGCCTATTCTGCCATACAAATCTACCTGCTGTCATTTCTAGAATTGCAATTCACATTCTGCTTTAAGAAACCACATTGGGATTCTGGTATTTAGCCAATCTGTAATGCCAATGGAGCTGAAATCCTGTGATAAGGAGCCTCGAGCTCATCCTGCTGGCTCAGAATGACAATGCAAAACAGTTATATGCAATGAATGATTATTATCGGATGATATGAATATTTATCTGACCCAAAAAACGGCTTTTTTTAGTCCTGTCAATATTAAAGAAGTCAAGTATAAAATTAGTACACATTCCCTTGAGAAAATGTAAGCGTGGCTCTAAATAAAGCTGGTGTAAAAACCTGAATATGTTTTCATATTTTCTTCCCATCGCCCCTGCACAGCAAGCAAGGATTAGAACTATGATCCAATTAGGCTTTAGCACACAGCTGTAATCCTATCGCTGGTTTCGTCTCTACCCCCTCCTGTAATAAAGACCAGTCACTGCTGCCATCTCCCCTTGTGCAAGGTGACTGGTCTCATCTCCGCCCCCTCCTGTAATAAAGGTCAGTCACTGCTGCCATCTCCCCTTGTGCAGGGTGACTGGTCTCGTCTCCGCCCCCTCCTGTAATAAAGACCGGTCACTGCTTCTCTCTCTCTCCTTGTGCAAGGTGACTGGTCTTGTCTCCCTCCCCTCCTGTAATAAAGACCGATCACTGCTGCTCTTTCTCCTTGTGCAGAGTTACTGTTTTGGTCTCCGCTCCCTCCTGTAGTTTGTGGGGACTGTTGGGCTATGTGTGGCACAGAGATGTTACTGCTACATCTAGGTTTGCAAAAAAGGGTTTGGTGAACACAAAGTAGATTTATATGTACTGTGCACAAAAACATTTATATTTATAGAAGCATATTCCTCCATAGCCACAGAGGGGAATTTATCAAAATTGGAGCAGACAAAATCTGGAGCAGCTGTGCATGGCAACCAATCAACTTCTCTCTTCAGTTTGCTCAATTAGGATTTGAAAATGGAAGAGAGAAGCTGATTGGTTGCCATGCGCAGCTGTTCCAGTTTTGATAAATTCCCTTCACAGGGTTCAGCTTTAATACATTATTGGGTCACTTTAAAAGGTGTAAACTCAAAAGGAACTCGCTTTGCATGAGGAAAACATTTTTTTTTTTAAAGATGTCCTTGTTTTAGAAAGGGTTTATTTTTCTGACATTTACTGTAAAAGTGACACATAAAATTCACACTTCTTGCTGTGATTCATAACAATATATCTGAGATGAGTATAACATCTCACTATCAAATCTATTGAAACTTTATTACCACCTGGCAATTCAAACCATACAAAAGACGCTCGTTCCCCCATCTACGCTGAATAGCATGGACGGGGAATCCCCCCCGCCGAGTTATTGTATTCTATATAGAAGTGAGTGGTACGGACCGGGCCACATGTTGGTCAAGTTATGGCCAATTCAGCGGACCTCGCCCAAAATTCTAGAATTGTATGTCCAGCTATGCAGAGAAGCACCGACACATCATCTACAGATAACGCGGATCCTGCAGAAATCCAGGCAAAATGGAACACTGCTGTACAAAAGGCGATTTAATAAAGGCATTAGTCGCACATTTCTGGCGCTGTGTATGCCTTGCGCCAAATTCATAAAAGCCTGCAACATTTTAGTACAGGCGTGTGCAACATTGTTACGTCATGGCGCCATTGTTGCGTCAAATTCATAAAGAAGTACGGCCATATCGGCAATAAGAAAAAATTTGGAGGGAAATAAAACCTTTTCCATGTTGGAGCAAACTGATGATTGTGTCTCGCATGTAATTATTGTCCCGAAACTTTAAGGCCTCATTCACACAATAAATGGCCGGCAAGAACAGCTCCATGCACGGCCGTATCGGGCAGCTCCCGGGAAGGACAGATGCTGCGTGTGATTAGTACGCAGCCCCTGTCCTTCTCTATGGGAGTACGCGGCTGTACGCTCACCCGCCCTGCACGTCCGTGCGGGTGTGTGAACTCG